CTGTTACCGTAATGAATCCTTCCCGCAGCTGTTACTGTAATGATCCCTTCCTGCAGCTGTTACAGCTGTAATGTAATGAATCCTTCCCGCTGCTGTTACTGTAATGAACCCTTCCTGCAGCTGTTACTGTAATGAACCCTTCCCGCAGCTGTTACCGTAATGAACCCTTCCTGCAGCTGTTACTGTAATGAACCCTTCCTGCAGCTGTTTCTGTAATGAATCCTTCCCGCAGCTGTTACTGTAATGAACCCTTCCTGCAGCTGTTACTGTAATGAACCCTTCCTGTAGCTGTTTACTGTAATGAACCCCTTCCTGCAGCTGTTTCTGTAATGAATCCTTCCTGCAGCTGTTTACTGTAATGAACCCTTCCTGTAGCTGTTACTGTAATGAACCCTTCCTGCAGCTGTTACTGTAATGAATCCTTCCTGCAGCTGTTTCTGTAATGAATCCTTCCTGCAGCTGTTTGAACTTCCTGCAGCTGTTTCTGAATGAATCCTTCCTGCAGCTGTTACTGTAATGAACCCTTCCTGCAGCTGTTACTGCAATGAACCCTTCCTGCAGCTGTTACTGTAAAGCCCTCTTCCCGGTAGGATCCCCTCCTGATAGGATGTATTTATACCCCCCCCCCCAGGAAATTAAATTCCGGCCAATCAGGAGAGAGCAGACCAGATGCGGATTGGGGGATTTGGGTTCTATCACCTGAAGGTGGGAGGGGCTATTGGTAGGTCGGCCCCCTATGGGGGGGAGGAGCTCCAGTCCTTCCATTATATGATGTCAGACATTAAAAGGTCACTCCACCAAAAATGTCAGATTCCAGCCACGCCCCCAACAATTGTGAAGTCTCACTCCTGCTGTGTCCACCTGAGAAACGTCCGGCACTGAGAGTTTGGGGCCCAGGGGCCCCGAGAGAGGGAAGACCCTGGGGGGGGGGTTCCTTCTAGAACCCAACCATAACTGACATGGAGGTTAATGGTGGAGTGGCCCTTTAAATGGCGCGCCGCGCTCACAGTATGCCAGCAGGCAGGATGGGATTGTTAGTGCAGACTGGGGGTCCTTCTTTCCTCCTGCAGGGGGCCCTAGTGGCCCAGATGTGGCCCATCTCAGACCCACATGTCCCTCTCTCTGTTTGTAGGCCTCTCAGTGTGACCTGCAGTCCGGGAGACAGAAGAGGCAAGTTACCAATCCGCTCTCCTCCTCAGAGGCTCGGACCTCCCCTTCTCCTCCCTCCCTGTCCCTGTCCCCACCCACTGCTAAGGGGAAGCTCCACCCTCCTGTTCCAAGATGGCCTCCACTTTGATTTACTTTTATCTTCTTCTATGTTTAGGATAATTCTGGCCTTTCACCCCTATGTGTCCGCCATCTGTTCTCTGTCTCCATGAGCCTCATCTTCATCCTCTGTCCTCCATCTCCATCCTCTGTCCTCCATCCCCATCCTCTGTCCTCCATCCCCCATCCTCTGTCCTCCATCTCCATACTTTGTCCTCCATCTCCATCCTCTGTCCTCCATCCCCATCCTCTGTCCTCCATCCCCATCCTCTGTCCTCCATCTCCATCTTTGTACTCCATCTCCATCCTCTGTCCTCCATCCCCATCCTCTGTCCTCCATCTCCATCTTCTGTCCTCCATCCTTTGTCCTGCTTCTCTGATCACCATCTTCCATCTCCATCCTTTGTCCTCCATCTCCATCCTTTGTCCTCCATCTCTATCCCTTGTCCTGCATCTCCATCCTCTGTCCTCTTTCTCCATCCTCTGTCCTCCATCTCCATCCTTTGTCCTCCATCTCCATCCATCTTTCTGTCCTTCATCTCCATCCTCTGACCCTATCTCTATCCAATATCCTCCATCTTCTGTCCTCCATCTCCATCCTTTGTCCTCCATCTCCATCTTCTGTCCTCCATCTTCATCCTTTGTCCTCCATCTCCATCTACTGTCTTCCATCTCCATCCTCTGACCCCATCCTCTATCCAATATCCTCCAACTCCATCTTCTGTCCTCCATCTCCATCCTCTATCCTCCATCTCCATCTTCTGTCCTCCATCTCCATCCTCTGTCCTCCCTCTCCATCTTCTGTCCTCCATCTCCATCCTCTGTCCATCATCTCCATCTTCTGTCCTCCATCTCCATCCTCTGTTCTCTTATCTTCTAGACTTATCTTTTATTTTTCATCTCCTCTACTTTCCTCCTTCATTACAGCTTTTTGTTTTCATTATTCCCAATAATGGATTTTGTTCCCCATTCCCTGTGACCTCATCTCCTCATCTCCTATGTCCTCATCTCCTCCTCCTCATCTCCTATATCCTCCTCATCTCCTATCATTCCTCCTATATCCTCCTCCTCATCTCCTCCTCATCTCATCTCCTATATCCTCCTCATCTCCTATGTCCTCCTCATCTCCTATGTTCTCTCTCTCTCCTCCTATTCTCCTCTGTTTCCTATCCTCCTCCTCTCCTCTCTTCTCCTCCTCATCTCTATGTTCCTCCTCATCTCATTCTCCTATCCTCCTCATCTCCTCATCTCCTATGTTCTCCTCTCCTCTATGTCTCCTCTCCTCATCTCCTGTTTCTCCTCTCCTCTGTTCCTCCTCATCTCCTATGTTCTCCTCTCCTCATCTCCTATGTTCTCCTCTTCTCTCCAAGTCTCCTATGTTCTCCATATCTTGTGTTCTCCTTTCCTTGTCTCCTATATTTCTCCTCATTCTCATCCACATCTCAGTTTTTCTCCTCAACTCTTGTGTTCTCCTTTCCTCATCTCCTATGTTCTCCTCTCCTCATCTCAGATGTTCTCCTCTCCTCATCTCAGATGTTCTCCTCATCTCATCAGATGTTCTCCTCATCTCAGATGTTCTCCTCTCCTCATCTCAGATGTTCATCTCTCCTCATCTCCTCAGATGTTCTCCTCTCCTCATCTCTCAGATGTTTCTCCTCTCCTCATCTCAGATGTTCTCCTCTCCTCATCTCAGATGCTCTCCTCTCCTCATCTCAGATGCTCTCCTCTCCTCATCTCCTATGTTCTCCTCTTCTCATCTCAGATGCTCTCCTTTCCTCATCTCAGATGCTCTCCTCTCCTCATTTCAGATGCTCTCCTCTCCTCATCTCCTATGTTCTCCTCTCCTCATCTCAGATGCTCTCCTCTCCTCATCTCCTATGTTCTCCTCTTCTCATCTCAGATGCTCTCCTCCTCTCCTATGTTCTCCTCTTCTCATCTCAGATGCTCTCCTCATCTCCTATGTTCTCCTCTACTTATCTCAGATGCTCTCCTCTCCTCATCTCAGATGCTCTCCTCTCCTCATCTCCTATGTTCTCCTCTCCTCATCTCAGATGCTCTCCTCTCCTCATCTCCTATGTTCTCCTCTTCTCATCTCAGATGCTCTCTCTCATCTCTTATGTTCTCCTCTCCTCATCTCAGATGCTCTCCTCTCCTCATCTCCTATGTCTCTCTCTCCTCTTCTCCTATGTTCTCCTCTTCTCATCTCAGATGCTCTCCTCTCTCCTATGTTCTCCTCTCCTCATCTCAGATGCTCTCCTCATCTCCTATGTTCTCCTCTCCTCATCTCAGATGCTCTCCTCTCCTCATCTCCTATGTTCTCCTCTTCTCATCTCAGATCTCCTCTCCTCATCTCCTATGTTCTCCTCCTCATCTCCTATGTTTCTCTCTCATCTCTCATCTCAGATGCTCTCCTCTCCTCATCTCCTATGTTCTCCTCTCCTCATCTCAGATGCTCTCCTCATCTCCTATGTTCTCCTCTCCTCATCTCAGATGTTCTCCTCTCTCTCATCTCAGATGCTCTCTCAGATGCTCTCCTCATCTCAGATGCTCTCCTCTCCTCATCTCAGATGCTCTCCTCATCATCTCATATGTTCTCCTCTACTTATCTCAGATGCTCTCCTCTCCTCATCTCAGATGCTCTCCTCTCCTTCTTCTCCTCATCTCCTATGTTCTCCTCTCCTCATCTCAGATGTTCTCCTCTCCCTCATCTCCTATGTTCTCCTCTTCTCATCTCAGATGCTCTCCTCATCTCCTATGTTCTGCTCTCCTCATCTCAGATGCTCTCCTCTCCTCATCTCCTATGTTCTCCTCTTCTCATCTCAGATGCTCTCCTCATCTCCTATGTTCTCCTCTACTTATCTCAGATGCTCTCCTCCTCTCCTCATCTCAGATGCTCTCCTCTCCTCATCTCAGATGCTCTCCTCTCCTCATCTCCTATGTTCTCCTCTCCTCATCTCAGATGCTCTCCTCTCCTCATCTCCTATGTTCTCCTCTTCTCATCTCAGATGCTCTCCTCATCTCCTATGTTCTCCTCTCCTCATCTCAGATGCTCTCCTCTCCTCATCTCCTATGTTCTCCTCTCTCTCATCTCAGATGCTCTCCTCATCTCCCTATGTTCTCCTCTTCTCATCTCAGATGCTCTCCTCTCCTCATCTCCTATGTTCTCCTCTCCTCATCTCAGATGCTCTCCTCTCCTCATCTCCTATGTTCTCCTCTCCTCATCTCAGATGCTCTCCTCATCTCCTATGTTCTCCTCTCCTCATCTCAGATGCTCTCCTCATCTCCTATGTTCTCCTCTCTCATCTCAGATGCTCTCCTCTCCTCATCTCAGATGCTCTCTCCTCATCTCAGATGCTCTCCTCTTCTCATCTCAGATGCTCTCCTCTCCTCATCTCAGATGCTCTCCTCATCTCCTATGTTCTCCTCTCTTCATCTCAGATGCTCTCCTCTCCTCATCTCAGATGCTCTCCTCTTCTCATCTCAGATGCTCTCCTCTCCTCATCTCAGATGCTCTCCTCATCTCAGATGCTCTCCTCTCCTCATCTCAGATGCTCTCCTCTCCTCATCTCAGATGCTCTCCTCATCTCAGATGCTCTCCTCATCTCAGATGCTCTCCTCATCCTCCTCAGATGCTCTCCTCATCTCAGATGCTATGTTCTCTCCCCATCTCAGATGCTCTCCTCATCTCCTATGTTCTCTCCTTTTCTCCTGTGTTCTGCTCTCCCCATCCGCTGATCCCCCTCTCCTCATCTCCTGCATCTTCCGGTCCTCATCTCCTCTATCACCCTGGCTTCCTCTTGACTCTCCAGGCTCCTTGGACTGACTCTCTGCCTGCATCCTTCTGCTCGTTCTCTGATCTGGGATCTGCAGTAACGAGGACTCTCTCCCTCTCTCAGCATGGACTTCTCCCTCTCTTCTTCCCACTTTGCTCGCTCCTCCTCCATTCACCTTCCTGTCCATCCTCTCTTACTGTTCTCCTTCCTCCCCCTCCAGCTCCAGATGCTCCCGTTATCGACACCCAGCGTACGTACGCCTATGACCAGATCTACCTGAGCTGGCGCCTCCCCCAGGACTCGGCCCCCGCCTGGCACTACACGGTGGAGTATCGCAAAACCGACCCCAAACACAAGACCCTCAAGCTGTGGCAACGGCGGGAGGAGATCTGGGGCCTGAGCACCGTCTTAGAGGGGCCCGACATTGACAGCGTGTATGTGCTGAGGGTGCGAGGCTACAACAAGGCCGGATACGGGGAATACAGCGAGGACATCTACCTGCACCACTCCACACTCCCCTCCAGGTACAGCTCACCCACTCCAGGTACAGCTCACCCGCTCCAGGTACAGCTCACTCGCTCCAGGTACAGCTCACCCGCTCCAGGTACAGCTCACTCGCTCCAGGTACAGCTCACCCGCTCCAGGTACAGCTCACCTGCTCTAGGTACAGCTCACCTGCTCTAGGTACAGCTCACCTGCTCTAGGTACAGCTCACCTGCTCTAGGTACAGCTCACCTGCTCTAGGTACAGCTCACCCGCTCTGACAGCTCACCCGCTCTGAGGCACCTCATTCTCTGTCAATCAGAGAGGAGACTGAGGTCATGTCCAGAGTGATCTGTCCCGGGGTATGGCCAGAGTCCCACCATCTCTGAGCTCCACACACAGGAGACACCCGAGGGAACTCAGGAACTCTTCAGGATGAATTGTCTGCAGAAAGATCACAAAACGTTGTTTTCTAAGCCTAACCTACCTCTAACCTGAACCCCAACCTACCTCTAACCCAACCCACCTCTAACCTGAACCCCAACCTACCTCTAACCTGAACCCCAACCTACCTCTAACCCAACCCACCTCTAACCTGAACCCCAACCTACCTCTAACCCAACCTCAACCTACCTCTAACCTGAACCCCAACCTACCTCTAACCCAGCCCCAACCTACCTCTAACCTGGACCCCAACCTACCTCTAACCCAACACCAACCTACCTCTAACCTGAACCCCAACCCACCTCTAACCCAACCCCAACCTACCTCTAACCCAACCTCAACCTACCTCTAACCCAACCTCAACCTACCTCTAACCTGAACCCCAACCTACCTCTAACCCAACCCCAACCTACCTCTAACCCAACCTCAACCTACCTCTAACCTGAACCCCAACCCACCTCTAACCCAACCCCAACCCACCTCTAACCCAACCTACCTCTAACCCAACCTCAACCTACCTCTAACCCAACCTCAACCTACCTCTAACCTGAACCCCAACCTACCTCTAACCCAACCTCAACCTACCTCTAACCTGAACCCCAACCTACCTCTAACCCAACCTCAACCTACCTCTAACCTCAACCCCAACCTCTCTAACCCAACCTCAACCTACCTCTAACCTGAACCCCACCTACCTCTAACCCAACCTCAACCTACCTCTAACCTGAACCCCAACCTACCTCTAACCCAACCCCAACCTACCTCTAACCCAACACCAACCTACCTCTAACTCCACACCCCTCTACCCCCAACCTACCTCTAACCTGAACCCCAACCTACCTCTAACCCAACCCCAACCTACCTCTAACCTGAACCCCAACCTACCTCTAACCCAACCCCAACCTACCTCTAACCTGAAACCCCAACCCTACCTCTAACCCAACCTCAACCTACCTCTAACCTGAACCCCAACCTACCTCTAACCCAACCCCCACCTACCTCTAACCCAACACCAACCTACCTCTAACCCAACCCCAACCTACCTCTAACCCAACCCCAACCTACCTCTAACCTGAACCCCAACCTACCTCTAACCCAACCCCAACCTACCTCTAACCCAACCCCAACCAACCTCTAACCAAACCCCAACCTACCTCTCCTGAACCCCAACCTACCTCTAACCTGAACCCCAACCTACCTCTAACCCAACCCCAACCTACCTCTAACCCCCACCCCAACCTACCTCTAACCCAACCTCAACCTACCTCTAACCTGAACCCCAACCTACCTCTAACCCAACCCCAACCTACCTCTAACCCAACCCCAACCTACCACTAACCCAACCTTCCTCTAACCCAACACCAACCTACCTCAACCCAACCTACCTCTAACCCAACACCACCCTACCTCTAACCTGAACCCCAACCTACCTCTAACCCAACCTCAACCTACCTCTAACCTGAACCCCAACCTTCCTCTAACCCAACCTCAACCTACCTCTAACCCAACCCCAACCTACCACTAACCCAACCCCAACCTACCACTAACCCAACCTACCTCTAACCCAACACCAACCTACCTCAACCCGACCTACCTCTAACCTAACACCACCCTACCTCTAACCTGAACCCCAACCTACATCTAACCTGAACGCCAAACAACCTACCTCTAACCCAACACCTACCTACCTCTAACCCAACCCCAACCTACCACTAACCCAACACCAACCTACCTCAACCCAACCTCAACCTACCTCTAACCCAACCTACCTCTAACCCAACCTCAACCTACCTCTAACCTGAACCCCAACCTACCTCTAACCCAACACCAACCTACCTCTAACCCTACCCCAACCTACCTCTAACCTGAACCCTAACCTACCTCTAACCCAACACCAACCTACCTCTAACCCAACCCCAACCTACCTCTAACCCAACCTCAACCTACCTCTAACCTGAACCCCAACCTACCAATAACCCAACCTCAACCTACCTCTAACCCAACACCAACCTACCTCCTCTAACCAAACCCCAAACTACCTCTAACCCAACACCAACCTACCTCTAACACAACCCCAACCTACCAATAAACCAACCTCAACCTACCTCTAACCTGAACCCCAACCTACCAATAACCCAACCTCAACCTACCTCTAACCCAACCTACCTCTAACCCAACACCAACCTACCTCTAACCTGAACCCCAACCTACCTCAAACCTGGACCCCAACCTACCTCTAACCTGGACCCCAACCTACCTCTAACTCAACACCAACCTACCTCTAACCTGGACCCCAACCTACCTCTAACCCAACACCAACCTACCTCTAACCTGAACCCCAACCTACCTCAAACCTGGACCCCAACCTACCTCTAACCTGGACCCCAACCTACCTCTAACCCAACACCAACCTACCTCTAACCTGGACCCCAACCTACCTCTAACCCAACACCAACCTACCTCTAACCCAACACCAACCTACCTGTCATATATAGATCAGTGTATATATAGGTGGCTGTAGGTATGTCGGCAGGCGGGAGTGTTGGGTATATAGATGTATCCATGGTATATGAGCCATATCTCTGCCGGTAGGTCGCACTCCTATGGGGGCCGATTGTTACAAATATTGTGGATTTGTGGCTGATGGTCCCTGATGGTCCTCCTCCCTGCCGGACACCATGCAGGGTCTGTTTGCTGGATGCCTTGCAGTCTCTAATGAAGTGAAGCCTCCACAATGCGAGGTCCTAACTGTGGGGGCCCCGCGCTCTTCTCTCTCTCCGCAGTGCTGAACTTCTTCCTGGACAGCAGCTGCGGCTTCCCGCGGGGACCGCCTGGTGGTCAGCAAGGATCGGAGGGCGGTGCGCAGCGTCCCGGGGGTCCCCATGCTGTTCGCCGCCGAGCGCCTGATGACCAGCTGCCACGTCTCCATGGAGTTGGTGCTCGGGGACGTCGCCATCACTCAGGGCCGCTACTACTGGGAGTGCACCGTGGACCCCAGCTCCTACGTGGTGAAGGTGGGCGTCGGCCAGGAGAGCAAATTACAGGAATTATTCCAAATGCCGCAAGACGTGGTGAGCCCGAGGTGAGAGCCCCACCCCCATCCCTAGAGGAGCCAAACACCCCCATCCCTAGAGGAGCCAAACAAACACCCCCCCCATCACTAGAGGTGCCACCCCACCCCCATCACTAGAGGAGCCAAACACCCCCCCCATCACTAGAGGTGCCAACCCCACCCCCATCACTAGAGGAGCCAAACACCCCCATCCCTAGAGGAGCCAACCCCAACTCCATCCACTAGAGGAGCCAAACACCCCCCATCACTAGAGGTGCCAACCCCACCCCCCACCCCCATCACTAGAGGAGCCAAACACCCCCATCCCTAGAGGAGCCAACCCCAACTCCATCACTAGAGGTGCCAAACACCCCCCCATCACTAGAGGAACCCCAATCACACCCCCCCCATCACTAGAGATGCCAACCCCACCCCCATCACTAGAGGAGCCAAACACCCCCCCATCACTAGAGGTGCCAACCCCACCCCCCCATCACTAGAGGTGCCAACCCCACCCCCATCACTAGAGGAGCCAACCCCACCCCCATCACTAGAGGTGCCAACCCCAACCCCCACCCCCGAGGATCACTAGAGGAGCCAAACACCCCCCATCACTAGAGGTGCCAACCCCACCCAACCCCACCCCCATCACTAGAGGAGCCAAACACCCCCATCCCTAGAGGAGCCATCCCTAGAGGAGCCAACCCCACCTCCATCCCTAGAGGAGCCAAACACCCCCATCACTAGAGGAGCCAAACACCCCCCCATCACTAGAGGTGCCAACCCCACCCCCATCCCTAGAGGAGCCAACCCCACCCCATCACTAGAGGAGCCAACCCCACCCCCATCCCTAGAGGAGCCAACCCCACCCCCCATCCCTAGAGGAGCCAACCCCACCCCCCATCACTAGAGGAGCCAAACACCCCCCCCCAAACCCCACTAGAGGAGCCAATCCCACCCCCATCCCTAGAGGAGCCAATCCCACCCCCATCCCTAGAGGAGCCAACCCCACCCCCATCACTAGAGGAGCCAACCCCCCCCCCATCACTAAAGGAGCCAACCCCACCCCCATCACTAGAGGAGCCAAACACCCCCCCATCACTAGAGGTGCCAACCCCACCCCCATCACTAGAGGAGCCAATCACATACTACCCCCCCCCCCATCCCTAGAGGAGCCAACCCCCCCCCCATCCCTAGAGGCAACCCCACCCCCATCACTAGAGGAGCCAAACACCCCCCCCATCCCTAGAGGAGCCAACCCCACCCCCATCACTAGAGGAGCCAAACACCCCCCCATCACTAGAGGAGTCAACCCCACCCCCATCCCTAGAGGAGCCAACCCCACCCATATCACTAGAGGAGCCAATCCCACCCCCATCACTAGAGGAGCCAACCCCACCCCCATCCCTAGAGGAGCCACCCCCCACCCCCATCCCTAGAGGAGCCAACCCCACCCCCCCATCACTAGAGGAGCCAACCCCACCCCCATCCCTAGAGGAGCCAATCCCACCCCCATCACTAGAGGAGCCAATCCCACCCCCATCACTAGAGGAGCCAAACAACCCCATCACTAGAGGAGCAAAACCCCCCCCCCCCCCCCATCCCTAGAGGAGCCAACCCCACCCCATCACTGGAGGAGCCAATTACATTCCACCCCCATCACTAGAGGAGCCAACCCCCCCCCATCCCTAGAGGAGCCAACCCCACCCCCCATCACTAGAGGAG